CATGACTCAGCCTCCAGGCTTGACTTTCCTTTATGCATAAGGAGTTGAGGGGTGGACCTGAGATTTTCATGTCCTGTAAGGGTCACCTGGGCCATCTCCACTCCCTCCCCCAGGTATCTGGACAGTGGCCAGCTTCTCTACTCCACAAGGGCTCTCTTGTCACGATCTCCCATCGCATCCTGTGGCTTCTGTGTCCTTATCTTTCATGATGTCTCAGCAGCCTTCAGCTCAGTTTACCACTCCCTTTTCCTGGAAATACTTTCTTCTCTTGGCCGTCCCCAGACTTGCTCCTTCCAGGTTTTTATCTTATCCCTTGGCCTTCCTCCCCTTCTCTGGCTCCAACTCTTTCTCTCAAATTCTAAATGATGGGGTGACCTGACACTCTGGTTGTTTCTCTTAATTGACTCTGTTTCTCTCGGTGATATCATTAAGTCCTATGGCTGAGCAACTTATGTGTGTAGCAGATGATCTCTGGGTCAATATCTTCAGCCTGAAGCCCAAGACTCATGGGTCCTCCTGCCTATAGCAGAGGGTGGCATTCCGCACTCATCCAAATAACATTTTGACTTTTCTTCACTCCAGCTGCAGTGGATAATTCCATACTCAAAGATGCCCACATGTTTTGCAACACCAGGGACTTTGCCGTGTTTGTTCCCTCTGCCTGGAAATTTCTTGTCCCTGGTTGTCCCTGGGCTGCCTCCTGCTTATTGTTCTGGTCTCAGATTACATCACCCCTTCCAAGAGGTATTCTGGTCACACAGCCTAAAAGAGCCTCCTAGACTCTATCACTTACAGTGTTTTAATTCTTTTAATTTTGTGATATTTCTTGATTTCTAATTTATGTGTTCAGTTTTTCCCCCACTGGGAGGCAAGCTCTGAGAGTGTGGGGACTGGGTCTGTCTTGCTCACTGCTACATTCTCAATGCCTAGAACAGGGCTGAGTCTCCTAATTGCTCAATAAGTAATTGCTGAACAATTAGAAGAAGCCACTAACGTCTTTAGCACTTAATTCCCAACTCTTAGAGAGTGGGTCATAAGGAACTTAGAATTTTGTCTACCTTTTAAAAAATTAAAAAGTTGATCATTGGATGACAGAAAAGTAATCTAATTACATCTAAGCCATGTCAGAATCAACAAAAATCTTGTCATCTTTAAAGTGAGGGATTAAAAATTCACAGTTATCTCCTCTTTCCCCCTGTGGATCCATTAAAATAGTATCAAAGGACTGAAAAAGTTATAAACTGTAAGGACGGGAAGATGAGAGAGGAGGGGAGAATAGGCGATGTGCAGAAGTGTTTGGAAGCTGGAAGGCAGACGGCACGTGGTGAGGGTCCAGTGGGGGCCTGCAGGGAGTGTTACCAAAACTCAGCACTTGTCCCCGAACTGCATCAGAAGAATGAGAACGAGTGTTTTGGGGAGGAGGAAAGAGAATTGTTATTACTTTGCCGGCAAAGGAGGAAAAACGGTAGAACTGCTTGTCTCAAAATCCAAATTTCCTCAACATAAGCAGAAATAGGGAGCTTTTAAGGGGAGGGCCCCTCAGTTGTAGGCTATTGTGGTTAACTATTCTAATCGTCCCATCTTTGCCGAAGACAAAGTCTGCGAACTCTGTCAGCCACCCACCTGGGGGCTGGTGCCACCTGGGATCACTGAGTTATCTCTTTTAACAGAGAACTTAACCTGCCTCAGGGATGCAGGCCAGGCTGCGGTTCCCAAAAAGAGTGGGGGAAGTTTTAAAGAGACAAAAATTTTTTTTTTCCTTCAGGCCCTTCCTTCTGTTGCATACTCCCCACTCTCAGTTTCACCCCTCCGTATGTGTGGGAGGAGGGGATGGCCCTCTGTTACAGGAGCAGCTTCGCGCAGTGAGACAGCTCAGCCCAGAACCCCACAAGGCCCAGCACTTGGAGGCCCTGAGTACCTCGGGGGTGTGGCTGATGGTGGGAGGGGCCGCACATTTCTATGTGGAGTGGCTGGACCCCAAGGTCTTCATTTCCCCCGTTTCTTCCAGACTACCCTGTCCCTCCCCCTGACCAGAAGGAGATGGGAAGTTGAAAGGAAAAGGCCCGGGGCTCAGGGCATCAGCAGAGGAGAGAAGGCAGGAGAGGGGCAGGTGGGAAAAAAGGGACTAAGTAAAAGTCTGAACTCTGAATGGTGGGACCTGCAGCCAGGGCTGCCCCTGGGGTGTACAGGGCTGGCAAACATTTTTTTGTAGGGTCTTTGTCTATATTAAAAATTTGAGCCACGTAAAATCAGCCTATTAGCACTATGCTGAGGACACAGTCTCGTAAGATTCTGTGATTAAAATGCTGTTCTGGCCAGCAGGAATCATCTACTTGCTAGGCCACCCTCTGGGAACCAAGGCCCACCCACTGGGCCCCAGGGCTGTAAATACGAATCCCGAGTTCCTTGGGGCATCTGGTCAACCCCTAGCATGGAGGAGAAGGGAAGAAAGAGGGACCAGGGCTCACACAGGACTTGGTCTGGGCATGGGGGACCTTACCTGGACAATACTGCCTGCCCCTACCATCCTGGGAGGGACTATTTCTGGCCATTTCTGAGGGGGAACTTGTGGAGAAAATTTACAGAGAAGGCACTTTAAAGCATGTGTTCCCCTGAAGTATGGGGCCCAGGCCAGGGCTTGCTCGGGCAATCTCCCCACCGACTCCTGGAATGTCGGTGATCAGACATCACTCAGGAGGGATGGAGGAGCAGACACAGAATAAGCTCGGGGGTCCCTCAGTGAAATGGCTGGTTTCTCAGATGATCGCCCTAGAGCGAAGCCCACCTCTCCATGAAGCCCCGAGCACACTCTCTGAGCCTCTTATTCGGATATTTACTTCTCTCTTGAATACAGTCTGAGGAAAACCTTTCGCATGAACGACAAGCACCACGTCGAACAAACTTAAAACCACACAATCACAGGGGAAGAAAAAGCTCTAAAATCCTCAGAGAGAGAAGTTATTGCATTCATAAAACAAGTATAAGATACACCGAAGAGATAGGGACAGCCGAAGAATAAGAAAGCTTGGAAATTGCAAATGCAATGGCTGAAATAAAAAATTCAGCAGAAGGTCTGGAAGATAAAGTCAGAGAAATCAACCAGGAAGTAGAGCAAAGAAGACAAGTGTTTGAAAGCAAAAGAGAAACGACAAGGCAGGTTAGAGGATCGACCCGGGAAGACCAGCATTTAACAAATAGGAATTCTATAAAGAAAAACGAGAAATGAGAGGAGAAGAAATTATGAAGAAACTCTGAGCAAAGATGTATTAGACTGGAGGAACAAGAAACTCCAGATTGAAATACCCTGGAGTGCCCGCCCAACAGGATCAATGAGAGAAAATGCCTTCCAAGGCACATCATTTATAAAAGTTCAGAACATCAGTGTTAAAGGGACCCCAAAGGCGTCCAGGGCGGGAAATGAATGCCCTGTGCAGAAGGATGAGAAGGAGAGTGGCAGAACTGGGTGCCAGAGGACAAGGAAGTCTTCACGATTCTGCAGGAAAATGATTTTTCATCAAATTTTCTATGCTCAGCTACATTAACAATTCCACGTGAAAGTAGCATATAGATATTTTTAGATGAGTAAAGACTCAGAAAGTGTCTCTGTGCATCTGTACCTGAGAAGTATTGTAAGATTTGTCACTGCAAAACGAGGGCATGGCCAGGAAAGAAGCAGGGGCCCCAACTCCAGCAAGGCCAGCGACGGGGCTTGGTAGGATAGATGGAGAAGAGATGTAGGTAGCAATCAGCTCAGGTTGGAGAGGATGAACAGCTGTCACCGGGGACAGGTGCGTCCCTTGGAGAAAGATAGATACTGTATCGTCTGTTATAAGAAAAAGCACTTGGTTAAACACAGAAAATTTACTACGGCTGAGAGAAGTTTGGGAAAATCCAATATTGAGCTTCAAGATAAAACAATTATTAACCTGGGAAAAAACAAAAGAAATGATTGGAAAGAACAATCTGTCAATGATCAAATTTTACTGACTGTAAGATGCCATTAATCGTAAAAACATTATTTTACGAGGAAAACCTGTTGCCTATTAAAAAGGCAAACTGTAACTTGTAAGACACACGCATGTTTCAGAGATGGTAAGAAGTTTAAAAATGTAGTTCTTGAAACTGGTGGAAATAGCACCCTATTTGGCTTTGCGGGGAACTATATATTGATTATTGATTTAACGACATATTGCGATGCAAATTTACTGTGAGGCCGAGGAGAGGGAAAGTATGGGTGTTCACCTCAGTGGGAAGGATGAGTACTAAACACAAAGTGCATGCACAAAGAAAGAAAGACAGCATTTAATGTCTGGAATTGATAAGTCAAGAATTAGCAGCGTTAATCAGAAATATGGATGTAGCCACTTGAAGGAACAGCTAACACAGTTGAAAATGGTGGCCTCTGGGCACTGGTGTAGGTTGGTTGGGTTGTGCTGGGGTGAAGTGATTCAGGGAACTGCTGATTTTCATTTGAAGCCTTGGCTCATAAGGTCTGTGTGCCATGTACATGTTACTTGGATGCAAACAAAGGTAAAAGAAAATACACACATGCACATATGTGCACATAGACACACACACACACACATGCAACCTTTTTGGAGCTTAAAAGTGGGACAGAAATGGGAGATTTGGGGTCCCAAACCTACTCTCTCTTTAAAATATCCTATCTAGACTTAAGGTTAAGACATGATCGTACCCCGCTTAATTGGCCTCCAGGAAGACCAGGCATCCTTCTCTGTTCCTTCCTTTCTTCTGCCCCCAAATGGAAGCCCAGGAGTGGCCCAGAGCTCTCTTGTCTTTGCAGCTCGCTGCAGCGTTTACACATTGCTCCACAGCCATGGCGCCCAGGTAGAACGATGGCCACTTCTCACGTGCAGGGACTGAGACTGGAGGGGCCACCGCTGCCTGCTCAGCCCGACCTCCTGCAAGAACACCAGAGGTACTTATCCTCTCTCTGAAATGGCACGGTCATCTAATATTCTGTCCCCATGACATTTTAGAGGAAGGAAGAGGAGGAGAGGAAGCGAGGGGAAGAGCAGATTCGCCTCCAGGAAGAGCAGAGGGCGAAGGAGCTCTACTGGACCCTGAAGCAGGCCCAGCTGCACTGCCAAGCCAGCGAGAAGGAGGAGCGCGAGTGGGAAGAGCAGTGTGAGTAGCGCTGGCTTCCCGGACGGGAGGCCACCCCCATCTGCCCACCCACCGTCCCGTCCCCAAGCTTATTTGCGTGCTCAGCAGTTCAGTGCACTCATGCACCCCTGCACCTTTACCTGGAGCCAACCATGTGCATGGCCCTGCTAAGGACCCAGAGGGTAAGGGCTCCACCCTCCAGGAGCTTACCTGCCCGTTGGGCAGAGGGGTGGGGAGATGTCTTATATTAAAAAATAAAATTCTACATTTACTGAGTTGCCAATCATTTCCTGGCTCTGTGCTAAGCCCTGGAGATGAGGAGTCGTGTCCCTTATGTTGGAAGAAGTCACCGATGACAGCAGCAGGTAGTCACACAGGCTAAGGGCTGTGAGGGAGGATGCAGCACATGCCATTGTAGCCCAGAATGGCCATCCTGGTGGGCTTCCTGAGGAGGTGTCCGGAAGTGAGGCTTGGTGGTGACATAGGAATAAGTGAGTCACAGAGGGTGGGCAGGGCACTCCAAGTGGAGGCTCCAGCACGTGCAAAGGCATGGTGACAAAGGAATGTGGCATGCCTAGGAAGTACAAGGTGGCAAAAACTTGGAGAATGGCAGGGGTGGTGAGAAGTGAGGTGGGAAGGGTGAGGGGGAACCAGGTTTGGAGGGTGCTGTTTTATTATGTACCTAGGATTTGTTTGAATCAGGTGTGGTAAGATACGCAGGCCCAGAAATGACTCTCGTGAAGGAAGGAAGAAGCTTTTACTCACGATCCTCAGAGACAGGATGTGTGCCACGCCATGCAGGGCCATGTGGAATTGCCAGGGTTGGTCGGGAGGCAGAGGGGTGGGGGGAAAATAGGGGCAAGAGCCTTTATTGTTGTTTCCTTGGGAAAGGTAAGGCGAGGCAGGAAAGGCAGGATTGGGATTGTCTGGCTTGAAGAATTTTAGTGGGGTCTGCAGTGTAGGGGTTGGTTCTAGTTTTGTAGCATCTGGCCTTGTGGTGATTAGGGTAGACAGATCCTGGCCTGGAGTGTAAGAGACTGAGACAGGAGGTGGTTGGGGGACTTGGCTTTGGGTTGGACGGTTTGCGTATAAAGGTGCACCTGCAGGCGAATCCTTTACTGTCTCTTAGAATTGGCTAGCTCTGGATGGGACATTCTCTCTAGAATCAGCAAACCCTCAGATGTCAAAACATCAGAAACTGCAGAAAATAAAAAGGCACAATTAATACAGGTGGACAGTGGGGGACTTCTGAAGGTGAGTGACACGATTGTAGCAGGGTTTGGGGGTGAGAGCCAGGAGGAGGCTCTTGCAATGTACACTTTAAAGACACTTGGAACTAGGGCCACACAGGGAGAACAGAAATGAGAGGTGTCTTCTGCTGGCCAACCCTCTGGCTCTCAGCATGTCTTAACCTTTTGCCTGATTCATTCCACAGACATTTTAGACTACGTTTTTTAAAAAAAATTGAGGTGTAACTTACATACCATAAAAGTTGTTCTTTAAAGTGTACGATTCACCAGTTTTTAGTATACTCAGGAAGTTGTGTGACCATCAGCAGTCTCTAATTAGAACATTTTGATCACTTGAAAACAAAACTCTGGAACTAATGGCTGTTACTCTTCCCTCCATTATATCCCTGGAAACCACTAGTCTAATTTCCATCTATATGAATTTGCTTATTATGGACATTTCATATAAATAGAATTATACATTAGGTGGCCTTTCATGTCTGACTTCTGTCATTTAGCAAGTCTTCAAGGTCCATCCATGTAGTAGCTTATATCATTCCTTCATTCCTTTTTGTGGCTGAATAATATTCTAATGTATGCATATACCACATTTTTGCTTATTCATTTATCTGCTGAGGAACATTTGAGTTGTTTTCACTTTTGGGCTATTTTGAATAATGTTGCTCTGTACATTTGTGTATAAACTCAGTTCTTTTGGGTATATACCTAGGAGTAGAATTTCTAGGTCTATGGTGTCTTACTCCATTTTCTGTTGCTATGGCTGAATATCTGAGACTGGCTAATTTATAAAGAAAAGAAATATATTTCTCACAGTTCTGGAGGCTGGGAAGTCCAAGGTCTAAGAGCCACATCTATTGAGGGCCTTCTTGCTGGTGGGGACCCTGAAGAGTCCTGAGGCAGAGAAGGACATCACATGGGGAGGGGGTGTGCACTGAGCACCACACTGGCTTTTATAACAGACCCACTCACTTGATAACTAACCTACTCCTGTAATAACCCATTATTCATTAACCCATGAATCCACGAATCCATGAATGGATTTATCAAGAGCCCTCATGATCCAATCACCTCTTTAAGGCCTTACCTCTTAATACTGTTACCCTGGGGATTTTCAATCTGAGTTTTGGAGGAACGTACATTCCAACCATTGCATACAGTAACAATGTTTAACATTCTGAGTAACTGCCACACTGTTTTCCAAAGTGCACCATTTTATATCTCTACCAGCAATGTATGAGTGTTCTAATTTCCTCACATCCTTGCCAACACTTGTAATTGTTTGTGTTTTTTATTATAACCATTCTAGTGGGTGTGAACCCATATCTCATTGTGGTTTTGATTGGAGTTTCCCTAATGAGTAATGATGTTCAGCACCTTTTGATGTGCTTTATGGCCATTTGTATATGAATTTTGGAGAACTGTCTCTTCAAGTGCTTTGCCCATATTTGAATTTTTTTGTTGCTGTTGAGTTGCAATATCCAATTCTGGATATTGATCCCTTGTCAGAGATGTGATTCACAAGTATTTTATCCCATTCTTCGAATTATCTTTTCACTTTGCTGGATAGTGTCCTTTGAAGCACAAAATTTTAAAATTTTGATGAAAAGTCCAATTTATTTATTTTTTGGTTGCTTATGATTTGTGTCATATCTCAAAAAACATTGCCTAATCTAAGGTCACAGTGAGTTACACTTCTCTTTGTTCTAAGAGATATATAGGTTTAGCCCTTAAAATTTAGGTCTTTGCTCCATTTTGAGTCAATTTTTGTGTGAGGTGGGATTCCTACTTAATTTTTTAAATATGTGGCCATCCAGTTGTCCAAGCGCCATTTGTTGTAAAGACTGTTCTTTCTCCCCTGGATGGTCTTGGCACCCTGTTGAAGATCAATTGACTGAAAATGTAAATGTCTATTTCTGTGCTCTCAATTCTATACCAGAGATTTGTCCATTCTTATGCCCCTACCACACAGTCTTGATTATTGTAGCTTTGCAGTATGTTTTGAAATTGGACAATATGAGACCTCCACGGTTGTTCTTTTTCAGGATTATTTTGGTTATTCTGGTTCCCTCGTATTTCTATATAAATTTTAGCATCAGCTTGGGAATTTCTGTAATAAAGTCAGCTGAGATTTTGTTAGTGATTCCACTGAATCTGTAGATCGCTTTCAAGAAATACCACCATCTTAACTACATTTGGTGTTCCAATCCACGATCACAGAATGTCTTTTCATTTATCTAGTCTTTTAAAATCTGTTTCTATAATATTTTATAGTTTTCAGTGTAGAAGTCTTGTCCTTGTTTTGCTAACTTTATTCCTAATTATTGATTCTTTTTGATTCTATTGTAAATAGAATTGTTTTCTTAGTTTCATTTTGTTTTTTTGTTTTTTTTTTTTTTTGAGACAGAGTCTCACTTTGTTGTCCAGGCTAGAGTGAGTGCCGTGGCGTCAGCCTAGCTCACAGCAACCTCAAACTCCTGGGCTCAAGCGATCCTCCTGCCTCAGCCTCCCGAGTAGCTGGGACTACAGGCATGCGCCACCATGCCCGGCTAATTTTTTATATATATATCAGTTGGCCAATTAATTTCTTTCTATTTATAGTAGAGACGGGGTCTCGCTCTTGCTCAGGCTGGTTTTGAACTCCTGACCTTGAGCAATCCGCCCACCTCGGCCTCCCAAGAGCTAGGATTACAGGCGTGAGCCACAGTGCCCGGCCTTTAGTTTCATTTTTGCATTGTTTATTGCTAGTATATAGAAATGCAATTGACATTTGTCTATTGATCCTGTATCCTGCAACCTTACCACACTTGTGTATTAGCTGGAATAGGTTTTTTTTGTGGATTCCTTATGATTTTCTACATACAAGATAATTTCATGTGTGCATAGAGATAGCTTTACTTTTTCCTTTCCAGTCTGGATGCCTTTCATTTCTTTTTCTTGCCTGATTGCACTGGCTGAAACTTCCAATATTATGTTGAATAGTGGCAGCAAAAGCAGGCAGCTTTGTCTTGTTTCTCATCTTAGGGGTAAGTGCTTCCAGTCTTTCACCATTAAATGTGATGTCAGCTGTGGGTTTTCATACATAACCTTGGGTTGAGGAAGTTCCATGCTTTCTTAGATTGAGTGTTTTGGGGATGAAAGGATATCGGATTTTGTCAAATGCTTTCTCTGCATCTGTTGAGATGATCATGTATTTTTTGTTCCTTATTCTATTAACATGATGTATTCTGTGATTGAATTTCATATGTTGAACCAGTCTTGCATTCCTGGGATAAATCCGCCTTGTTCATGGAGTATAATCTTTTTTGTATGTTGATAGACTCTGTTCGCTAGTATTTTGTTGATGATTTTGTCTCTGTATTCATAAAGGATATTGGTCTGCATGATGTTTTTGTCTGGTTGTGGTATCAAGGCAATACGGTCTTCAAAGAATGAATTGGGAAGGGTTCACTCCTCTTCTGTTTTCTTGTAAGAGTTTGTAAGGAATTGGAATTAATTCTTCTTTAAACATGTAGTAGAATTTACCAGTGTAGCCATCTAGTCCTGGGGTTTCTTTCTGGGAAGTTTTTTTCATGAGCCATTTTTTCTTGAATAAATGCTCCCTGGATTGCTGCAAGCCTTTCATTAACTTCTAACAATCTGAGAAAGTCGATTCTGACAATTTGCCAGGGTTTTCATTGCTTTATAGAGGAGAGGATTTTCAGGGCTCCTTAATTAACCTTTTCCACTGATACCCTTTTAAACTGATATTTAATTAATTTGGTGCCCATCCTA